TCAAACTGAATGATTCAAATGATGAACTACGAACAGGCCAACTTGCCATTTTTGTATGACGTCAATGGTCCCTTGGTACATCATCTCTCACATATATGCAAGATCTTGAAAATCTCTTTTTAAATACCCAATACGATGATGTGTTGAAGACCGACGGAGAAATTCGACCAATCTGAGTTTTATTAGTAGATGGAGGACCAGATGAGAACCCGAGACATTTAAAAAATATTAAAACATATTGCCATCTTTTTTGAAAATTTAATTTGGATTACCTGACTGTACGGACACATACTCCAGGGCAATCCAAATATAATCCAGTCGAAAGGGGTATGGTGACGCTATCCAGCAAGCTAGCAGATATCATATTACCAATTGATCATTTTAGAACACATTTAAATATGCAAGGCAAAGTGATAGATTCAGAGTTAGCTCTTCGAAATTATCAATACGCCGGAGAAGCTTTTTGTGACATTTGGCGTCGTGATTTGATTTTCAGAAAAAGCGTAGATGCTCGGTATGTTAAAGAATCCATCAATCCATTTGAAAACCTACAATTTGAGAGTATAGAAAAAGAAAAGATTGAAGAACGAAAATGACAAAAAAAACAAAAAAAGAAACAACAAAAAGAAAAAGAAAAAGAAATAGACTTAGCTGATTGCTTTGTATCATGGTCATGGATTAAAAATCATTGTAATCTATGCCAGTATTCGCTCGATATTAAACGATGTGCGAATACAAGCTGTTGTGGTCCACCTTGTGTAAAAGAAGCCATGGAATTCCTTCAATCAAACAATGGCTTCTTACCTCCTATCACCAAAGCCAAAGATGGACAGTTTACCAACCCAATACACTTTCTCAAATATTATGATCTCTTGAAAATTCCTGGCTACGATTTCCATTGCTCATCTCTTGATAAAATAACATATTTGCATCTTTGTTGTTCTGAATATAAACAATATTTTCTAACACTTACTTTTTTGACGAACCACAAATGGACAGTACATCCTGCCAGCCGTGGACGGCCTAAAGGAAAAGGTAAAGACCAAAACTTCTCAACTCTCGACGACTTCTCTGTTCTCCCATCACAACGACAAGATAAAATACTGCTTTTTGAAGAAATGCGTTTGAGGGAATACATATCAGATCATGAATAAGATCGGGTTGCGTAACTATATTTGTATTGATTACAACACTTTATTGATAAGGTCTAACTATATTTGTATTGATATCGATATATAGTATTAATAAAATAAGATATTACATTTATCACGTGATTTATAAGTTTATGTATAACCTAAGATCCCCTGCTACCCTCCACCCCCTAAAATATTAGCTAATATATGTCAGCGCCCTAATAGATTATAATAATTACTATTTCATTTTTTTAAATTCAGAGACTCTTATACAAGTAAAAGATTTAGAGTATTCCAGATATAATAAACTATATTACATATTATAAATCTGAGCTAAATTGCATTATCAATAAGGTTAAATGTCAGGTTTGATTCTTAAGTAAATTTGACGTTATGAATAATATGTCACTATTTATATAAAGAATTTGATTCTATGATCTCAGTAATTATTAATAAGGTAAACCTTATAAATTAGATTAGTAAAGATAGTAATTGTTAATTACTATAATTGAAGTGAATTTATTATCTAATTCTGATAATTAAATTTATATAAAGTATTAGTTGAGCAGATCTCAGAATCAAATCTAGATGAAGTAGACTATAATTACTAAATAGTAACCTCTAGACAAATATATATAATATGATTATATATATATTTAGTAGTTATAAAATCTCAAGTTTAATAAGTATAAGATGTTAATTTAACCTCTATTAGATTTAACTGAAATAAATACATCTATAAAAAAATTTCAAAAAGAACAATAATATAATATTCTAATTAAATAATAATGAATTATTTAATAAAAATGATAGTAAATAATCAATTCAAATTTAAATCTGAATCTGAATCTGAATTTAACAGATTAAATTTGTATTTCTTTTTATTTTAAATAAAAAGTAATTAAAATAATAAATATATTATATTTTATGAAAATTATATTTATAAATTAAAATAATATTATTAAATAAGTTTATATATTTTGATTATAAATAATTATATATATTAAAAATTTATTATCAGCAAAATTTTTTTGTATATTTAATTTAAAAAAAATAGCTTTATATCTACCTTTATATTAAAATTTAAAAGATAAATTTTATATATTTATTATTATTAATTATTTTTTTATTTTATTGATAAATCTTATTAAATAAAGATAATAAAAATAAGTTTTTTTTTAAAAGATTTTAATTTATTAATTTAAGCTTTAATAGAATTTTCTTCTAAAATAACCTTTTTTTTAATTAATTTATAAATTATATTAAATTTATTAATAATTAATTTAGAATTAATTTTTTTAAAATTATATACTAAAATATTATTTAATAAATATAATAGTATCTTTAGTATTTTAAAATGTATATTTAACGATTTTATTACAAAATGATAAATATTATACAGTCAATTCTCTATAAATATATCCCTATAAATGCATATCCTTTATAAATACATCTTTTTATCTGGTTTTAATTTGGGCCTTAGTGTTAAATGTATATCTTTTATAAATACATCTTTTTATCTAATCTTAACTTAGGCCTTAATGTTAAATACATATTTTTTATATATATATTCTCTGTAAATGCACTCTTTATAAAAAAATTTATATAGTTTACTTATTAAATTTTTGTATTATCTTAATTTTAGATTAGATTTATATATATTTTATAAATACACACTTTTTTAAATGCATCCTTATACCTAGTCCTAAGGAGTATATTTATAGAGAGTTGACTGTATATTTAAATTAATGTTAGTTAATTTTATCAATGAATATTATGATAATCATTCACATTATGAATAAATATATTTTTTATATTTTGTAAATAATAATTATAATAATTATTAGTGTTCATTTAAAATAATATTTTTTGTTGATTTATAGTTTTTTTTATTACTAAAATTTCAATATTTGTTAATGTATCAATAGAAGAATAAGAAATTTTAAAAGTTTGTAAATATGATTTAATTTCTAGTTTAAATATTATTAATATATTATTATTAATATTAGCTAAAAATAATATAATAAAACTAATTTTTTTTATTTTTATTTGTTTTAAAAAATTAATTAAAACTTTATTAATATTTTTAATATAATTGTAAAAGCTATTGAATTATAAATAAGTTTATTTAATCTATTTTAATTATTATAAAGAATATTAAACATTTTAATTATTTTACTATTTAAATTAAAGTTGTTATTTATATTATAATTTCTGATAATTTGATTTAATTACTTTAATTCTTTTCTAATATATAAAATACCTTTTCTAAATATTTAATTTTCTATTTTTAATTTATTATTATTATTACCATTATTTTTAGAAATCTGCTTTATATTATTTAACTTCTAAATATTCTAGATCTTTATTAGTTTTTTTTTTTTAATAGGATCATTATCAGTTTTTCTACATATATTGCAAATCATTGTATCTTCATTTAATTAATATTTCAATTAATTTTTCTGGAATTTTAAATAAATTTGTTGAATTTATTTTATAAATATCATATTTTGAATGTTAATATTTTAATATTTGATATTTTATTTAATATTAATTTAATTATAATATATTTAAAAAAGTATCAAATTAATAGTTATTGAAATATCTATTTTATTTAAATTTTTCTAATTCTTCCTTTACATATATTATTTATGTAAAAATTACAATTATTAATATCTGCAATGATATTTTTGAAAATTAGAAATAGAATTTTAAAGTTAAAAAGTTATAATTTTAATAAATAAAAATAATTTTGCAAATTTTTCATAAATACTATTATATTTGCACTATATGAATTTTTTTTGTGCATTTAAATTTTTAAAATATTGTGCACACTAAAAAATCATGCGCACGTGCACATTGTGCACATGAATTTTAAATATTGAGTCTGACCTCTGATATACCGACATATATTAAAAATTCGATATAGCGACAATATTTTATTTTATTTAAATATGGAGCGTTGCAAAATCACATTACGAATCATATGATTTACTATATCTCATGACTTGATTTTCTATAAATAAATTCTTGATTTTAGCAAAGTACCAAGTTTTGAGACCGTTTTACTTAAATTATCACAATAAAATAAAATAAATAAATTGTAATAATAAATTTAATGCAATATTCATTTGCAAACAAATAAAAACATTCTGATATTCGAAAATTTCAAATATGCACACTTTGAAAGAAACTTACCCAAGGACTTATATACTGTATATCAATATTTTTTATTCGTTTGAATATCATCTTTTAATGGTTATCAAAGTTATATTGTTGTTGCACCACATGAAAATTGATAATTGATCGATCATTTTTTCCACATGTTGACACACAGAACATCAATTATAAAATAAGCTCTAACGGTTAAACTCTACCTATTAATAGTTTTTTTCAAAAAAAAGGTCGTTACGAGATATAATTTTTTTTTTTTAAAAAAAGAACCATTCAAGCACGTTCTTTTTATCCATAATACGCGAATGATTTATTTTATTATGAAAAACTCATTCTAATGTAAGTTGTATTTCAATTATGTCTACATTAAGGAATTGTCGTCGTTAAAAGAAAAAGTAACAGGCAAATGTACACGTTACTCTTTATTTAATATGGTTAAAATTATAAATAAATAAATAAACGAAATTTTGTTACCATAAAGAAGCGCAGCAACTATATGAAGAAAAGATCATCAAACAAAAGTGATTTACAGTTTCAAAAAAATTTAATTTGCATGTAAACATGTAAATCTTGAAAAAGGTTGTTTTTTTTTTTATTTTTATTTTTATTTATAACCATTATTCATGTTCTCATAAATCGAAACTTTTTTGATAAATCCACCTCGTTTGGAACAAATTTTAACAAAATTAAAATATGCAGAGAAATTACGAAACATTGGCACATCATAATCGAATGATATGCAATTTCGACAGTTCGTCCCAAGAAAATTTATGTCAGGATGATTGTGAAAATTCCATATCTAATTTAAATGGTCTTAATAATTATTCATCAAAATTATGTAAAGCATATTATAATGGCAGTATTATTAAACGAGATTCTAGTGACATTAAAACGATTTATGATTATTATCAAAATAATTTGTTGAAAGACGAAGTACTTGATCAATTTTCTTCTACTGTCGATAGATATGGCTTTGTAGATTTAGAAGGTGACAAATCAAAACCACAAGATACAAAATATTTGAAAAAAGATGCAAACCGTTCAGTTAAATGGGCATCATGGTTGTCTCGTAATAAATATGTAATACATTCTGGAAATTTTGGTAGTTCTTTATTTGAATTTCCTTGGAATTCGAAATTTATTAATAGAATTAGTAAAGGAATACCTAATTCTTGGAGAAATCCTGTTTGGTATTTTTTAGTTACCAAAGGATGTTCTGAAACTGAGTTTGACGATGATTTAATTATAACTTATAAAGTAAGAATGTTAAAAGATTTATTTAAAAAATACAAAAATGAAGTTTAACTCTTTTAATCTTTTTAGTCATTATTAAAATTGTCATCAACACATGAAAGACAAATTGACTTGGATATCCCGAGAACATTGCATAAACATATAATGTTTCGTACAAGATATGGTTCAGGTCAGAGAGCTTTATTTAATATATTAAGAGCTTTTGCAAATTATGATAAACAAGTCGGTTACTGCCAAGGAATGGCTAATGTTGGCACTATACTATTAATGTATTACCCTGAGGAGGTATCTATGATTAAATTTTTTTTTTTAAATTAATTGTTTTTATCCGTTTTAAAACCAAAAATTTTAATTATTTATTTCTTTATCTTCCTCTAAAATGGTTTGTTAGTATGCATTTATAATGTTAACTAAATTATTTATAAAATGTAATTTACATAATTTATATATACCCGGTTTTCCCGCTTTAATGGAAAGTTTTTATGTTCAAGAAAAATTAATGAATATGTATATTCCTAAAATATCAAATCACTTTGTAAGTATTTTTTAAGTCTTATTATTGAAAAAAATTTCCATTATAATTAATTCTTTTTTTTTTTTTTTTTAGAAAAAATTACAAATTTCAAGTACAGCATATGCTACAAAATGGTATATTACTTTATTTTCAAGTGAAATTATACCTCATCATACTGTTTTAAGAATATGGGATTTATTAATGTTACATGGTTTTGATATATTATATTTTGTTGCAATTATTCTTTTAAAATTTCACAAATGTAAGTATTTATTAGTTTTAATAACAAATTTATAAAGTTTTCAAATATATTAAAAGATAATTTTTTGATTTTTTAGCAATTATATTAGCTTCTGATTTTGATGAGATTTTAATAATGTTATCATCATTTATAAATATTATTGATGATAATAAATTAACAAAAGAGATCATAAAATTATATAATAAAAAAGAAAGAAAAAGATTAATAGATACTCTTAAAGCTGAATATAGAAATCAACTTAATAATTAATTACTTAAATTTTTTTTAAAAATATAATATTTAATATATTTTATTTATTTTCAAAATTTTAAATAAAAAATTATAGTTTATTAAAAATATTTTAATTAATATTAATTTTAAAATTACAAATTAAATAGAATTATTTTTAATAAAATAATATATAAAGATTATTCTAAAAGAAGAAAAATAATATTATTTAATATAAATTAAAATTATATATATAAATTGATAAATTTATCATTAATATAAAATATTATATTAATTTTTATATAAAATTATCTTTTTATAATTTTTAATTACTTTTGTTTATAATAATTTATACATATTTATATTATGTAAAATATATATATTAAAATTAATATCTATGTATATACTTTATAGATGAAGGATGAAAACCCTTAATAACAGTTGAAACTTAGATAAAATTATATTAAAATCATAATAAAGAATACAATAAAATTTTTTCAATATAATAAAAGCTAAAACTGTTAAAATTATTTAAAAACATAAAAAAGGATATATCAAAATTATTTTGAGAAAGTTTCAGCAAACATCTATAATATATTTAAATACTAATTAATTTTGATAATATCAAAATTAATTACGTTAATTTGACATTTATTAGAAATTATTAATAAAATAATTAATAAAAAAAAAATATATATTAACTAACGTTCCCTTTATATCCTCTATAGAAACTTACCTTTGATCAAGAATAAAAATCTCTAAATCCTACAAAAAAAGGTAATTAGTTTTTTTTTTAAATAAAGTTAAAAAAAAAAAAATAATTGCTGTTTCCATTTTCTCTTATAGGAACTTACTTCTGATTTAGGACAAAAACCTTTAGATTCTACAAATAAAAGGTGAGTTAATTATTAAAGTTTTTTATTACAAATAAAAAAGATTTTGACTGATGCTTCTATTCTCCTTCTATAGGAACTTACCTTTCATTCAAGCCTTAAAAGTTCTTCAAATTCTACAAAAAGGTAAGTAGAGTGTTATTATTTTTAAAAAAAAATAAAAAAAAATATTAACTAACATTCCCTCTATACCCTCTATACCTCCATAGAAATTTACTTTCGATCATGGATAAAAACCTCTAGATCCTAAAAAAAAAAGGTAATTTAACTTTATTTTTTTTTTAAATAAAAAAAAATAATAATAATTACTACCATAAGAATTACTTCCTGATCCAGAACGAATTATACAAAAAAAGGTAAATTATTGATTTTTTTTTTATTTTTAACAAATTAAAGCAATTTAACTATAAGAACTTACCTTTTATTCAAGATGAAGATCTTTGGATCCTACAAAAAGAATGAGTTTTTAATAAAGTAAAAAAAAAATTTTGACTGATACTTCCATACTCCTTTCATAGAACTTATCTTGAAAATCCTCTAAATTCTACAAAAGGTAAACAAAGGATTATTATTTAAAAAAAAATAAAAAAAAATAATATTATCTAATGCTCTCTCTATAGAAACTTACCTTTGACCAAGAATGAAGACCTCTAGATTCTACAAAATAAAGTAATTAGTTTTCTTTTTTTTTTAATATAAATTAAAAAAAAGTAATTTAATTGCGTTTCTATTCTCTTTCCATAGGAATTATTAGTTTTTTTTCTAAAAAATAAATTAAAAAATTTAATTGCAGCTTTTTATATCCGATTAAAAGATAAAAAAAATTCATAATTTACCTTTTCAAAAAAAATTTTAAAATTAATACCTATTTTAATTAATTGTCTTATGTAATCTTTGATTATAAGATCACATAACGATAAATGTACAAAATGCATTGTACTATAATATTTGAGTATAGTACATTATTTAGAACAATACTAGTACAGTATCAGTACAGTACTAGTATAATTCCTAATTCTGCTTACATATATTATGACGAAAAAAAATCAATAATTATGTAATGCAATAAAATATGTATTATGTTAAGTAATAGTCTATATTTAAATTTTTTTTCTGAATCAGTCAAACTGGTTAAATAATCATAACTTTTATCTTATTTCTCATTCTTAACGTAATACCTTTTAGCTGATTAAGATGATTTATAGATGCTAATAAGTTATTTTATTTTGCATACTGAGATGAGATAAATATTTTGCCTATATTACTTTTACAATTTAATAATTGATAAGAAATTGGAAAATCATTTTTTATCTAGCAGGTAAAATACAAGTTGACTCAAAATTTGAAATACTTAGCATAGTATTTTTTGTCATAGATGTTTTAGTCTGCACATAAGCTTCATAGTGTATTGTATGATTATCATAATCATATGATACTGATGCCAATTTATCCTTTTCTGAGTATGAGTTAGATTGGAAGAAAAGCTCTAGATGAAGGTGATTAATTTTAATCTCTTCTTGTAATATAAATTATTTATATTGCTAGATATGAAATTCCATTCTATCAATAGATTTGAGAATTTTATTTCTTCTTGCATGTTTATTCAAAATAGTATTTTCAGAAATATATCTTTTCAAGTAGCTATCTCAATAATAATATCTAAATGACTGTTTTCAGATATAAAAACTAAGGAGTCATATATATTATAATATATGTAATTTGATGAAAGACTATAAACTTTATTTAAATAGATTACAGATATGAGAGTACTACATTTCTAGTATTTCATAATCATGTCTTTTTGTTAAAAGGCTTATTACATTAATTATTTTTATATATTCTTCAGAACCTCTATGAGTATTATATGCATTAATTAGCTTAAAATAAGCTCTACTATTTAAATCTATATTTAGAATTATATATATAAAATAACCAGTTTGTAACAATTTTAGCGATTAAGAGATTAATAACAATTTCAGTGATTTATAGCAGTTTATAATAAGTATACTATAATAAATATCAGATTTATTTTTATTCGATTATAAGCATATTAGAAATTTATATTTATATATAAGGATTTTAGAAAGATCTAATTTTATATTTACATGCATATGCATGATGCCTGATTAAATTAGTTTATGACATAATATATATTATATCATATGTATTACCCTAGATCTTTACTAGTTTCTCAATAGTTCTAGGAGAATTCTAGGAGCTAGTGAATTTTTATAAATTACGAGATTATCAGCCAATCAGATTTTATCATTCTTGATCTTATTGACATGATAGTTAAGCCATCATTATTATTTGATTAAATCATTATATTGATCAATTAATTTGCCTCGCAATGATCTTAACATATCATTTGATATTTTTTATATAATAGTTCTAGTGAATCTCTGATACCCAGCTTTGTATTCTCATTAATGAAAAAAAATAGAAATGTGAAGTATTACACTACTACAAATAAAAAGAAGTATCTCTTTTGAAATAAGATTGCAGAAAAATAAATGATTAAAAAAATACTAATTATTTCACTGGTAATACCTATCATAAAAAATTCTTTGGTCTTATGAAAGCTTTTTACGTAAATAGTGTCTGCTTATCTTCTATGAAGACTTGACCAGTTAATAATGCTTATTATTATTTTTGATAGCAGAAAAATATAAAAAAGGTACTAGAATAAATGAAGTTTAGTTAGCAAAGAAATTTATAAAAAGTTCTCAACAATGTTTTAGTTAAAATCAGGTATGTTTCTGTAGAAATAAGCTAGTGATTATCTTTAAATTAACAGAATTCTATCTATCACCATTTACTAGAACTTCTATTCAAGTAAGTGCATAATGAAAATGTTAGGTTAAATAGTGTAAATTCTTCTGAGATATTATCTTCTTTAATCTTATCTACACAATCTAAATAGAAATTAAGTTTTGAGCAATCATTGGAAAAAGCTGTTAAAGAATCTCCTAAATTATCATCACTTATAACATCAAATCCATCAATTATCAAAACACCTAATATCTCTGCTGAAAGCATTTTTAACAGACCTGTGACCTCAAAAATTTCTTCTTTTTACAAAATATGAATATAATCAATGTCACTTTTAATTATAACAGTGCATCAGAAGAGGATTAGAGTTTAAAAAATTCACTCTGATATTGATATAGGACCTTTGCAATAGAAAAGGGAAAAACAGTCGGAAAAATAAAAAATGAGTTAATGCTAATTCTGAACATATTTTGACCTAAAAATCATATTTAGCATATAAAAGTAAAATTGATTTTTCTGGCTGTTTCCCCCTTTTCTATTGCAAAGGTTCCATATAGTTAAAACCGATATTGAAGGATTGTATGACTACTTGAGTAGAAATTTAAATATCACTTTTTTTGGAAAAAAAATAATTTTATTTTATTGCTTATATGTTGCTATATTTAAAAAACAGTTTTTAAAATAAAGTGAGATCTTATTTGTTACTAATTAAAAATTTATATACATAAAACAAACACACTCGTTTAAAAATTCAAAATAAAATTTTATTTATTATTATGTAATATAGCTGATTTGTTAAGCAAAAAAAGTAAATAAAAAAAGTAAAATATTAGATCGAAAGACTGAAAGAATGTAATAATTGAAATAAATGATGCTATCAAAGAAAAAGGAAGTTCTCAAATTTTAAGCTATAAATGAGAGTCTTAGTGTTAAGTTATTTCATAATATTATCTTTACTAATACTTCCTTTAATATTACCGCTACTGCTACTATTATTACTACTGCTATTATTAGAAAAACTAACTGATTTCTTATTTCTCTTCTTTTTAACTCATTTGATAATTTTATTCATAGAAGTTCTTCTTGGTAATTTTTAATGATGATAAAACTAGCTAATATGCTAGCATTAAGTCTAATTTTAATTGATAAAATATTATATAATTATAATAGTAAATGAGCTTTTCTTTTCCTCTTATTATTAAAAGAGCCATAAATT